GCATCATTGCTGATCAAAGTGATCATCACTGTATCACTGGCCTGAACTACATGTAGTATATATATTTACATCATAATTGTATCATGCCTGATTTCATTATTGTATTGTGACTGAGTGCCAAAAATTCATGATTCAGACTGATCTCAGGGCTGATTCAGACTCGAATTCATCTTAATTTAGGTTTAAAGTTTTAGGTGTGTACCTAACTTGCCTAATACCTAAAATCACCCTAAAGACCTGAACCTTCAGAACTGCTCAAGGCTGATTTGATTCTAAATCAGATGAAGTATTTAGTAATGGGCATTTAATAATTAACCAAAGAATGATTTCTAAAAGACACTAATCCTCTCATTCTTTAGTAGAGATACTGCAGATCAACTTGTCTATCGTTATGAAAAGGCTAAGAAGGAGGTCAGACCACCTCCTCCACCTGTCAAATCAGTGCATGCCATAGCTAATGCTACTAAACCAATATCTCAAGCCTCCATCTCACGACAATTGAAAGCTATTTACAAGAAACTTGGTCCACCAGATGAAGAACAGGAAGAAGAGGAGGAGGAGGAAGATGGAGACCTTGATGAGTCACTGAGTGATTTGGAAGAAGACTTTCAGATAATGATGTCAGGATTAAGAAAATAAAAAAACATCTGTATCTATTTGTATGTGTGTGTGTGTATTTGTGTGTACTGTACATGTTATTCTATTATTTGATCTTATTAAAGCATTATCTCCTCATATGCAATCTCTTTTAAAGGAGCTTTTAAAAATCTGTTGCACATGTCTGCTTGTTTAACAGTGATTTGATTTAATCAATGTTGACTTTAACTATTGTTTCCACTTCTGATTCGAATGTACCACACCTCTCAATAAGCGATGGCTTCCATCTTACTGAAAGACAAGACTGGATCATTTTCCCCATCAGGCTCAGTGCAAGAAGGAGAAGATCCCTGGGAGTTTAAAGTATTTAAAGGAGAGTTCGTTGTCCAACTGTGTCAAAAGGAGATATGTCGAATCAAAGGTGTCACTCTTAATTATCGTCTTTATCATGATGCTCAGATAGTCTTGCATGCTGATCCTGTTGATGTTGTTCCGTTAGATGAAGGAGAAATAGAATATCTACAAGCAGTACGCCCATCTAGTGTAAGATTAAAGGAATACTTAAATGAGGAGAATAAGAAGATGAAGCTTAATCTGGTAGTTGGTGATAAAGTCATCTTCAAATTAAAATTAGCAGAGTCTGTCACATCCAAAATCACGCCAACTCCATCGGTCAATGGTACAATACATTATATTGGTCATCATCCTGATAGTGATGGAATAATCTTTGGTATTGAAATTGCTGCTCAAGTGAGTTTAACATGTTCTGTGGCTACATTTTAATGTATTAAATTTTAGGATCATACATATCGTGGCAAAGGTACCAGTAATGGTAAACCTTATTTCACTTGTAGACCAAAGAATGCTGTTTTTGTTGCTATGGATAAGATAATCAAGAAACAAGATCCACCAGCACGTACTAGATCAAGTCAGGGATCATATGAACCTTCTGTCATAGAACAACCTAGACCAACTACCAGAAGCCAGACGAAGCCTGGTGCTGCCAGTGGTCAACCGGCAAAAAGTGTTTATGATAGAGTAAAAGGTTTTATAAAAGATTTTTCAGTTTTCTCCATTGAAGTTAGTAATACAGCAGAAGAAGGAGGAATAAGTTCACCAGCCCATAAGTCACGGTTCAAAAAAGGTGATCGTGTGATATTACAGACAGTTAAAGAAGAAGTAGTTGCTGGTACAGTGAGATGGGTGGGACCAATTAGAGTTGCCAAAGACATGAAAATTGATCCACTTCCAGTAGTTGGAATAGAAACCGTAAGTGATGGAAGTAATGAATCAATGAATGTTTTTATATTTCTATAGGACACGAAAATTGATCCTTTGAAAGATTTTGATGATGCAGGTGTTAATATCACTGGTACTCATGGTACTAAGCTTTTTAAAGTAGCACCTACTCACAGTCGAGTGTTCCTTCCTGAACAACTAGTACTTACTGTTGATGAGTATACGATGCAGCAACAGAGAGATCATGCTGCTAGATTTAAGCAAGGTCATGAAGTTTTTAAACAAGATGATGCTACTGAGAAAGAGAAGAAATTAGCTGCAGAGCATGGTATGACAGTAGTAGAATATCAACAACTACAGGAAGGCTTTGTTGCTGCCAAGCAAGGAAAGGATGATGGGAAGGTTCATGTCACTGGTGATCCAAAAATTGAAGAAGAAATGTTTGCAGTAGGAGGAGGAACAAGAATAATACAAGGAGGAAGAGAAGGACTTAATGAATTAACAATTACAATCAAACCAATGAGGTTTGCTGGGCCTGAAATAGTTAGTAAAGAACGAATTGAAGAAGAAGAAAAAGCTCTTGAAACAACATCAAAACAACAGCAACGAAGGATTAATGAACAACAGCATGGGCAAAAAGATTTTCAGGTGATTGAAGGAGGGATTGAAGAGAATATTGTAGAAGACTATGTCAATTATGCACATGTAAAACCTTATGTTTTGTCTGAACAGGATAATAATGAAAGAAGAGGAGGAGACAATGACCAGCAACAACGACCTAACCTATCTGTAATGGGTGAAAGTATTAGGCTCCAACAACCACATCAACCCCAACAGTCATCAAGAGCTCAACATCTCCACAATGAAGGAGGAGAAAGAGAAACAGCAAGTCTTCCATCTAATGATAATACACGTAATCATTCACCTTGTAATGATCCTGGTCATCAAGATCATGGGCATTATGATAACCATCAATATCAAGATTGGGATCCTTGTGATCCTGCTTGTTATGATGATCATCATGGCTCTGGCCATTATTCACCTGATCCTCCCAGTGGTCCTCTTCCTGATCCTGGTGATCAACCTGCTGTTCCTCCTCCTAATCCTCTGCATTTCCAGTTCAATATTGGGTCAATGGTGTATATTGATACACAAAAAGGTGATCCATTGTATGGTATGGTAAAGTGGATAGGGACACTACCCGACTACCCTGGAACAATAGCTGGAGTGGAATTGGTAAGTCATTATGTGACACGTATTAATGTAATGCATTATTAATATAGGAGAGGCCATTGCAAGGCTGTACTGATGGTACATGGGGTGGAAGAAGATTCTTTACATGTCCTTATGGTAAAGGTTACTTCTGTCCATTAAATATTCTGAAACAAGACACAAGATATGTGGATATGGTAAAAAATTCATGCATGCATTATTTATTTATCCACTTTTGTTTTTCACTGATCAGACTCAGAGTGATGCACCACTTGACTTTCAGTCAATACTCACTGCAGATGGTAATGAGATACACAAATCCAGCATGATGGAGGAGGATTATGTAAGTCAACATAGGTTTTATGGGAATTTGTGATCAGAATCAATTCAAATGTTTTTAAGCATAAATGCTTGAAATTTTCGATAAAATTTGGGCCAAAATTAATCTCATTAAGTTCAAATGATCTAATGTTTGCCCAAAAATTAAAAAGTTTGGCTTTATTTTTACTAAAAGGTAAAACTGAGTCAATTTTAGGAATTTGAAGAAAGTTTATCATTTATTTCACCCCTCTCTTACTATAGCCAAAGGATGAGCACCTCTTGCCAATATATGCTAAAGATAACAGTATCACTGAGGCTACAGATGAATCACCTATCCCTAACAGTGAATATGAAAAGGAAGCCACACAAGACACAAAAGCCGATATGAATAACCAAATAGTATTAAACTTAGATGAATCTTATGATGAATTTGAAACTGATTTTACTAAGGAGAGTTTATACAAGCTGCAACAAGAGAGGCCTCAATGTCTACAAGATACCATTAGTAAAAAACCACTGAGCTCGTTTGAAGGTATCATATCCATTCAACAACAGATGCATGCTGATTTAGCATGGTATAACACCAACTTTGATCACATGATCCGACACTGTGAAGAGCTGTTTGATAATCTGGAGGAAAGAAGGAGCAACTTTAGACAAAGAGAAAGTCAATTACAAAAAGTTTATAAACAGAATATAATTAAAATGAAGGAATTGAATGAAGATTTAACATCTTGTCTTCGTTCTCTTCAAGATTCACACAATAGCCTCACAAAAGAACATCAGCAGCTCCAAATGTCACATGACACCCTAACAACAAATCATCAGAAGCTTTTGAAGTCACATGATACCATGACAGCTGATCATCAGGAGCTTCAAAATTCACATGACAACCTCTCAAGAAATTATCAAGAGCTTCAAAAGTCACACAATAGCCTCAAAATGGAACATCATAAGTTACACAATAGCCTCAAAAAGGAATATCACGAGCTTCAAAAGTTACACAATAGCCTCACACTGGAACGTCAGGAGCTTCAAAAGTCACACGATAGCCTCAAAATGAAACATCAGGAGCTTCAAAAATCACACGATAGCCTCAAAATGAAACATCAGGAGCTTCAAAAGTCACACAATAGCCTCAAAATGGAACATCAGGAGCTTCATAAGTCAAATGCAACACTAACAACTTCTCATGAAGAGCTTCAAACATCTCACAATAACCTCAAAATTGCTCATCAGCAGGAAGTCACTCGACACCAAAAGTCACAGGAAGAAATTGAGAATAGGTTAAAACAAATTAATCAAAGATTAGTTCAAACACAAGAAGAACTAGCAGCAAAACAAAATGAAGTGGCTAAATTACAAAGCACACTGCAAAAATTAGAAAATAATTGGAAAGTCAGTTGCACTGATGTAACTCTGTCAAAGAAAGAGCTGGGCAGAGGAGGCTGGGGTGTAATTTGGATCGGAGAGTTTAGGGGACAGAGTGTTGCTGTGAAACAGATGCATGAGCTGATTAAAAGCGACGAATATATGGAGCTCCTTCATCGAGAGATAAATACAATGTCTCAATTGCGTCATCCTAATCTCCTCCAATTTATAGGAGCTGTGTTAGACCATCCATCAGGTAATCCTATGATTATCACTGAAGTAATGGATACCTCATTACGCAGTGCATATGAGAGGAAGGAGTTTACTACTAATCGTCACTGTAGACCAGTGATTCTATCTATAATGCGTGATGTAGCTGTTGGTTTAAACTACCTACACTGTCTCCCTGATCCTATTATTCATCGTGATGTCAGCAGTGCTAATGTACTACTGGAATCAAAGGGAGACAAGAAATGGAAGACTAAGATATCTGACTTTGGGTCGGCTAAATTTGCTCATGCAGCAGTCACTGCAGCACCAGGAGCAGCTGTTTATAGTGCTCCAGAAAGTATCGCAACAATTCATAGAAAAAAGAGAAGGCAAACAACAAAGATGGATTCACATAGTTATGGTGTTCTCTTGTGTGAAGTGCTGACATGTCGTTTTCCAGATGAGGAAATATTTGAGGCTTTGTTAAAGCAGGTCAAAGCCAGCTCACCTCAGCTGCATGAGCTCATAGTTTCGTGTATCGATGAAGAACCAGACAAACGACCGACAATGTCTGAAATAATCATCAAATTGGATCATTTCATTGCTAATAAGTAGCACTGACTGTTCCCCATTACACAAGTACTTTTATAATATAATATTATTGTTAAGCACAATTTAGACTTTATTATTTTTTGCTTTTTCTACTATTATTATAAATAGTAATATTATTGTAATTTTGTTAGCTTTTTCTTTACAATGGTATTTTTAAAATTGAATTGCGTAAAATTGAAAAAAAAACAAAAAATTAATAAAAAATAAAAATAAATAAAATAATAAGAATAAACAAGATAAAATAAAATAGAATAAAATAAATGATTTTAAAAAGTAAAAATTGTTGCCTATTTTGAGGTGAAAGTTCTCCATTTTAGCCCTGTATCAAAAGGCTAGTTTATAATATCAAACTGTATTCAGCAAGAAAGGGTGGGACAGCATAGCAATAAATGAAACAATGAATGAAACAAATAGCAAATATGAATACAATCACATAGCCCACTCATAGACCCATGTGTAGGTAGTGACTGTAGTGTTAGCAAGCAGTGGTGCCTCCAGCCTATCAGGCCTGCTGGTTGGAGGAGGGAAGTCACTAGGGCAGCCTAATTGTCCATCTCTGGTCTCACCACAACGATAGGATATCTTGAGGGATTTACTGAACAGCAAAGGATCATTCTCAAAGAACTTGTAAGCGGAAATTTGAGCTTTTCCTTGTCTAAGAGTGCAACCTGCATTATCATGGTGATACAAGCCTCTGTTAAAAGAGTATGCAGAGAGAAAGAAATCTTCAGTACCAGAGGAAAGGAACATTGTAGAGTTGGAGTCATCAATGATTGCCCTCATGCATGCCTCAACATAGTGAAAATCAGTGCTGTTTGCTGAGAGGGTCACTTGAAATAGAGCACCTGCAGTGGCATTAACATCAGCAAGAGTTATGAAATCTAAGGGCTTCAGGATTATGCCAACATTTTTATAGAGTTTCAGTTTCGTTGTTTTTGGTAGAAGCAGATCCCCAAGGATAAGAGGATAGTTCTCAACTCCACGTATAATATACCAGAAGGTACCACCATTGGGATGAGTTGCAGTAACTTTAAAAGAATTAGCAAAAGGTATCCGGTAGGTATTGTATATACCACCATCAGCAGCATGAGCTATTCTTTTAGTACCCCATGGGATGTTACCCACTTCAATGGATTCTGTGCCTCCAATCCCGTGAGCTAGTAACAGCATAAAATCAATGCTGGCTGTAGTCTCTCCATCAACGTATATCCTTATTCTAGCGTCCTCGTTCATTACACCTCTACCTATAACGACAGTTAGTAATAGATACTGGTCACTGTATCGTATATCTACCTGTAAACCATTGTTCTGTAATGACTCCTGCCTGGCCAGTGCTGTGTTCATACAGTGTTTTCTCAGTGTTAGCAGGTAGATGACCTCCTTTGATTGCAGAAGAGAAGGACTTCATATCCGGAGTAACTGGAATTGCAGAGAAAACTCCTCCAACAAGAAGAAACAGCAGCAAGAGGTGAAACTCCATTTTGGGTGGAGCTGGTTTTAATTACGACCCGGGGGCGTACCTCCCAGCATAAGTGTATAGATCTATATAGCATCAAGAGATAGCATAGATATTAGAGTAAAAAGAATATCTATGATTGATATTCCACACTTATTACTTATACTGGCAATGCTATTGACTCCTGGAGTGAGAGCATAGTAGACATAATTGCCTAATTGGTTGTGGCTGGTTCCTTTATGCATTTCAGTGATACAAATTAGAGCTATTACCATTTTAACTCAATACCACCACTGATATAGCATAGCAGCACTGGATTGAATTTTAATACCTTTATTATGATGCTGAGAGTAGCTGCTATTGAGCACTGATATATCATAAGGTAGTACCAGCTCCACACTTTGATGATTGTCTAAGGTGAAGGATAAAATGGTTGTACTTATGTTCCTAATTGTGACTCAAGTTGTGGTAGGTGAGTCTCCATTGTTCTGGAACCCACCCATGTAATATTTTTGGACACCACGGTGTCTTTTATAATTTTGTGATAAGATAAATTTTTTACCTAAACATTATTTGGATTGAAAATAGTGCTAAAAATAGCTTCAGCATGATAATAAACAAACAGCATAGCAATGAATACAATCACATAGCCCACTCATAGACCCATGCATAGGTAGTGACTGTAGTGTTATTAGGCGGTGGTGGGTCCTTGAGCCTCTCAGACCTGCTGGTTGGAGGAGGGAAGTCACTAGGGCAATCACTGCTTTCACCACAACGCCAGGATAGCTTGATAGATTTACTGAATAGCAAAGGATCATTCTCAAAGAACTTGTAAGCAGACATTTGACCTCTTCCTTCTTTGAGAGTGAGGCCTGAGTTATCAAGGTGATACAAACCTCCATCAAAATAGTAAGCAGAGAGAAAGAAATCTTCAGTGCCAGAGGAAAGGAACATTGTAGAGTTGGAGTCATCAATGGCTACCCTCATACAGGCCTGAAGGTAGTTAAAATCAGGGCTGTCTGCTGACAGGGTCACTTGAAACACAGCACCTGCAGTGGAATTAACGTCAACAAGAGCTATGAAATCCAAGGGCTTCAGGACTATGCCGACATTTTTGTAGAGTTTGAGTTTCGTTGTTTTTGGTAGAAGCAGATCCCCAAGGATAAGAGGATAGTTCTCAACTCCACGTATAATATACCAGAATGCCCCACCGTTGGGATGAGTTGCAGTAACTTTAAAAGAATTAGCAAAAGGTATCCGGTAGGTATTGTATATACCACCATCAGCAGCATGGGCTATTCTCTTAGTACCCCATGGAATGTTACCCTTTTCAGTGGCTTCTGTGCCTCCAATCCCGTGAGCTAGTAACAGCATAAAATCAATGCTTGCTGTAGTCTCCCCATCAATGTATATCCTTATTCTAGTATCTTCGTTCATTGCACCACCACCTATAACAACAGTTAGTAATAAATACTGGTCTCAGTATTTAGTGTTCACCTGTAAACCATTGTTCTGTAATGACTCCTGCCTGGCCAGTGCTGTGTTCATACAGTGTTTTTTCAGTATTGGCGGGTAGACTGCCTCCTTTGATTGCAGAAGAGAAGGTTTTCATATCAGGAGTGACTGGAACTGCAGAGAAAACTCCTCCAACAAGAAGAAGCAGTAGTAAAAGGTGAAACTCCATTTTGGGTGGGGCTGGTTTTTGGAATTATTAATTTTAATTAATTATGATCACGTGCCAAGGCCACTACTATTCAAGCCTAATGTCTCTATTTTGATACAGTCCTGGCTGGCATCAATGTTGAATTATGTCTGTAAAGTGTTGCTCTGGCTGAACCAGGGCTGTACTCCACATGGTTGTATCATGATTGTATCATACTAGACTCATTGCTTTGCAGGCTGCCCTAAATCCATGATACAGGAATGCATCAGGCTGATCATGATTCATGATTGATATCAGTCATGATTCAAATTAAAATTCTTGGCTGTGTAGCAACAGAAATCAATCAGTCAATCACATTAAGACAGATTTTGAAAACGTCTTCGAAGGATTCCGGGTCACCATGACTTCAATAAACATTCTTGTAGCTTGGTGCTGGAGTTTATATTACATGTCGTGACAGAGAGAGGTTTAATAGTGTAAAATACAGTGCACAAATTCAAAAAATACAAACACACACACACAAACAAAAATAGAAAAAAAAAGATTGAGACACATTTAAAGAAAGAAAGAGAAAAAAGAGGACATCTATTCATGGAGAAAAAAAACATATCGATAATAATAAAATAACACAACAATAAAATAACAACAATAATAATAATAAGAATCTAAACAAGTATAATTCCGCACATGACAGAGTTGCACGAGCTCATCTATTATTTCGTTTGGTGTCAAAGTTCTTTTTCTATCTTTGCAAAGGTTGGTCTAAGCTCTGGGTTGGCGTCCCAGCAGCTCATCATTATGGTGTATATGTGAGGAGGACAGCCATCAGGAGCATCCATTCTGTAGCCTCTCTCAACGTGCTGTACTATATCATTGACAGGCTGAGAAAAATAAAAGAATAATATTTATAAAAATTACCCATAGAAGTGGAATACTTTATTAGCCTTTATCCTTTAATTTTTAACTTTTTATGTGTTTTAATTTTACGGTTTACATGCAAGCTATTATAATTAATATAACTAACAAAAATTTAACTGGTTTTTAATTTTAATTTTTTTCCCATTATCGTAAAATTAAAAAACATTCCACTATGCATGCTCTACATTTTAGTCTACATGTACACATTATTAGTAGATAATTACATGGATTGTGTAGTACTTACAATGCGTGGGTAGGGCACTCTTCCATACGAATATATCTCCCACAATAAAATACCAAAACTCCAAACGTCAGATTTATTTGAAAATTTCTAAATATAAAAAACAACAAAAATTCATCAATAAATATTAATTATATTCATACAAGTACACTTTATATTAAAAACATATTTACTAATTATTAATAATAGCTACTCTCAATCTTTTATTACATTAAAAATGTAGGAATTTTATATTATCTCATTTAACAAGCATATAATTATTTTACAACGTTGAAATTAATTTTATCATCATTTAATAATGTGACATACGTTATCTTTTAGTGCTTCGGGTGCTGTCCATTTCACGGGAAGTTTCTGACTATCAGAGCGTGTGACACCTTCTCTTGCTAAACCAAAATCAGCAACCTGGGGATAGAGAAAGAAAGAAAGGAAAAATATCATTAATGGACATATATATAATCTCATGTAAGCTAATAAATCGCAGAAAGCATGTAAATGTACATGTACATGTGTTTTAATATTAATACAGAAAGAAAGAATGAGAAAAATACATGTACATTGTAGATCATACACATGTACATGTACTAGGCTAATAAATTATAGAAGGTAATGTACATGTATATGTACATGTAAATGGATGTACATGCATGCATTTTAATAATAATAATTTATTAGTATTTTAATTTGTACCTTAGCCACTGCTTGGTCTGATAGTAGAACATTACGAGATGCCAAATCTCTGAAATAAAAAACAACAAAACAGATTATTACATTATACAATTCCCAGAGGACCCTCACCTGTGTATGAAGTTATGCGACTCTAGATAGACCATACCACTGCAGACATGCCTTTAGAAATAAAACATAAATAAATAAATAATATTGCTGTTAAACCATGTACATGTACATGTACATGTATAACAATATTCAAGTCACATAAATTAAAATAGATTTTTCAATTTAACAAACAAATTATTCACACACGTGTACATGTACATAGATATGCATGTACATGTACATTTATTTACACTATACTAAAAAAGAATAAAATGCAGTTGTCCCTTTAATTTCTCCCCCCTCTCTCTCCCCCTTGCCCTCCCTCTCTCTCTCTCCCTCCCTCCCTCTCTCTTTCTCTCACTAACTTTGCAAAGTCAATCTGGTTTTGTTTGGTGATGACAGCTCTGCCCCTTGATCTGAGGTACTGCTCCAGTGATCCTTTCCCCATGTACTCAGTCACAAGACAAATCTGAGTACTATCCACTGAGACACCAATCAATTGAACAAGATTAGGATGAGAAAGGGTACTACATGTGGATGCACATATAAATACAAAAAATGATACTAATAATAATAATAATAATAATACACATGCAGTATCTACAAGTACATGTGGATAAGAGTGAAAAATTGACAAACAAATATATATTACATACATGTAGAACGTGCTTTAAATAAAATATACTGTACATGTACATAAATAAAAAAAGGACGTGTAAGATTAATTCGTAACGTAAATGTACATGTACTTGCAAGATAACATCATAAATTTACCTTAAAAATTAATCATACATGTCCTTTTTCATTTATGTACATGTACATGTACATGTACATGTACATGTATATCGTACATGCATAATTTAAAATGAAACAAAATTCAATTTACATGTACACAATATAAACATTTGTAAACACTGCAGAGCCTTCAAAATGTACATGTACATGTATAATAATAATTACATGTACATGTATATAACCACATGTCATGTACATCTATTATTAATTATGTACTAACGTCATGACTGATGCTTCTGCAAGGAACTGTTGTGTTTGCTGTTGACTTTTAATTTCTTTAAGCATCTTGATAGCTACTTTACTGCCTCTGTATTCACCTAGCCACACCTCTGAGGAGAGAGAGGGGGAGGAAAAAGAAGTCATTATACAGCGATATTAAAAGCAATGTACATGTACATAAATGTATGCTGTGATGTACAGCAAATAAATTATAAATTGTAAATGCCTAAAGCTCTAGAAATTTTCATCAGGGTCAGCTTAAACTTTCTACATAGCATAAGGGGATCAATATATATCAGAAAATGTAATAAAAATTGGGGGTGATTTCGGAGCCATTTTTCAAAAAAACCATGGGCTATAATAGTACAGGCATTTGTTCAAAAATTGGCTCATTTTTAAAATGGTCATAATTCGAAAAATTGCTGTCGGTATCAGCTCAAACTTTCTACATAGCATAAGGGCATCAATATGCATCAGAAAATATAATATTAATGGGGGGGGGGACTTTGGAGCCCTTTTTCAGGGCCATAGATGGCAAAATTAATATAAAAATTACCTCCAAACTCTCCTTTACCAATAATACTCTTAGAGTGTAACTCCTCCCTGGTAATGGCCCAACCCTCTAAAGAGAGAAAGAAAGACAAATAAAAAGAGTAATATACAATGTATTATTAATAAAAATTACGTTTCTTGAAATCTTCTAAACTAACGACTATATCAATGTTTCCTTTCTTTTCTACGCTGCACTTTAATCTACTGCAGAGACCGTCGGCATCCTTCTGATAATGCTGTAACAACAACAATAAGAATGATTATTATTAGTATTAATTTAAGCTTTAAACAAAGAAACAGAGAGAGAAAGAGAGGAACATACTTCGACTAGTGAGACTAGATTTTCAAAATATTCCTCATCATCAACAGTCACCCAATTCTTCTCATTTCTTCTAACTCTGTAGTGCTCCACCTTGCCATCATAACTACCAATAAACAACAACAATCAATCAACTAGCAACTAATTACATGTCACCCTACTAATTAATTAAATTGATCAGTGGTTAATTAAACTCACCAGACACTGAGTGTATAGTCGCCTACGTATGCTACGCTTTCCCTCACGAGGAAAAGACCATTCTTTGGAGGAGTAAGTAACTTCTCTCCATCTTGTCTTGAGAGTTTACCATGAAACCAACTAGAACAAAGAAGAAATCAAAAATAGAAAAAAGGGACAATACTGCATGTACAATGTACATGTAGTGGGTACATTTCATTGGGAAAAAATTCATTCTATATCAACTTTGCTCTGTCTGCTGCCATTCTAAGCTGTCATGCAACACTTTTTTCATTTGGAAAAAAATTGTAATAATACTTAACAAAAAAGAATGAAATCACATGTACTGTACATGTAAACTTTTACGAAATCAACCTGCCATTATGGCAACCAACCCACCCATCATAACACTATCAATACAGTTATTCTTCTCTTACGGCATAGTGTGTAGTTTGACTGCTCCTTTGCCTTCATGGTGAGGCTGCTGCTGGTGCTGCTGGTGATGGTGTCCAGGATCAGAGGAAGACATAGGCGGTCTTGTTGGAGGTAGAGGAGGGGGAGCAGAAGGGTCGCTGTACTTCGTTACATAATTGTAAGGTATCATTCCCTCTAGACCGTCGCCTCTCTTGGCCTTGTACCAGTTGGGGTCCTATGGAGAGACATGAGTGAGTGAAAGTTGTACTAAATATATGTACATGTACAGTGACTCTGTGTGGTGTGTGTGTGTGTGTGTTGAAACTTGCCTTTGTGGGGCTGACAATGGTTAGTATATCACCTTTTCTAAATGGTAAGTCCTACAATGTATAAAGGAGAGAAAAGAAGAGAGAGAGAGAGGGGGGGGGGAGAGTGAGAGAGAAATAGAGAGAGAAAGAGGGGGGGGGAGTGAGGGAGAAATAGAGAGAGAGGGATAAAATAAAAGGGATAAAAATTAGAGAGGCTGCAGATGTGCATGTACATGTATGATATTCCTTACATGAGGAGATGAGCCAATGAAATTATATTTAGCTGTACACTTGGTACCAGCTACCCACGGAGTGTCAATGGCTGCCATTTTAAAAACCTAACGAAGAGAGCGAGAGGGAGAGAAGTTTCATTTGGTAAATTACAAAAGAGGGTGGACTATAGATATAAGAAAGAGATAAAAACAAAACAACCAAGACATGAATGACAAAACAAGAGCAAGACGAACGCACGCACACACACTCTAAAAAACAAATAAAATCAATAACACGACCATATATAGTAAACGAACACACAAACAAACTGAGCCACACCCACCAGTGAAGACCCTACATGTACAGTGCCGGAACATACATGTACATGTATATACATATAGAGCAACTCAGCTACACCCACGAGTATGACATACATAGATTAAAGATACAGAGAACAGTTTTGGTATGGACTAATACGTCTCATTGCAGGACTGGTGGCTGGCGCTACCTAAGGATTCGTTTACCTACTTTAGTGAAGGAGAGTCTGCTTGAAATCCTCTGTCTCAGCTAGTACCAGTGACTACCCGGCTCTCCTCTCTTTGTTGTCTTCTATAACAATCCCACGCCTTTTCTCTCGGCCCTTTTCTCCTCCAATACTTTTCTACAGTCACAGCCCAGCACTACAGCTTTACTATAATGATATACGGAAAGTGTCCGGAGATTTTTTATTGGCAGGAAGTATACGGAAAAAGAACGGAAGCTGATTGTTTATTAACTGACAAGTCCAATGTCAACAATGACAATATAAATGTCTATAATGAGGCAATTAAATCAATATGACTCCAGTGGTCAGCTGCTTCCACTTTAGAGTTGTTTTAATCAGATTATAATTATAACTAAATAATAAATTTTGCACTGTCATCAACAACACAATGATAATAATTATTATAATATTTATCACACACTTGCATATACAAGAAATAACAAAATATAAAAATACGAAAAAATTAAAGAATTAATGGGTTTGAAAACAAGGAATGAATGAATGCCTTTTTTTGTGCAATAGCAGCACACACATAATAGTCAACTAGAGAGAGAGAGAGAGAGAGAGACATTAATGGGAACGCATGAAAGAGAAAGAAAAATTGAAAGGCAAAACAAGCTATATAAGTTAATTCTTTGTTTGTATAAATGTTAATTAGGATAACAATCAGTGAGGAGTACTGTATGTCTCCATCTTTCAAAGAGCAATCCCGGATGTCTTCATTCTAAAGTCGATCAAGCTATCGGCCACTTCAGCATGACCAATGTCATCAAGGTTAGACACAAGATCAAGAAATGGAGAAGACTGGAGATGGGATGAGCATAGCTGACGGAACAGCTCCTCCGTTTTAGTGTCTGGAGCATTCTTTAGCTGGTCTAGTTCAGCTGGTGAAGCTCCTATTGCATCTCCTAGGACAGTCCAAGAGGATTGCAGAGCTTCTGTAATGAGGTCTATATCAGTAGCATTAACCAATTCATCTGGGGGGAGAGAGGGGGGAAGAGAGAGAGGGAGAGAGAGAGGGAGAGAGAGGGAGGGGGGGAGAGAGAGTAGGAAAGAGAAAAAGAGATGATGGAAGGTGAGAGGGAGAGAAGAGATAATGAGCATATGTTTTCATTCCATTGAATTCAGTGGAGATTATCAGTTTTTGCAAACATTACAACTGACAGACACAGCACACAATATATTGTACATGTATAGTACATATACTTGTACTATACATGTACTTGTACTTGTACTATACATGTACATGTACTTCTACTATACATGTACATGTACTTGTACTATACATGTACATGTACTTGTACTATACATGTACATGTACTTGTACTATACATGTACATGTACTTGTACTATACATGTACATGCATGTATGTACAGAATATGGAGTACACAATTATGATAAATGGTCTCCTGTTTATTATGAATACAAGAAAAGGAGACAACGGAGTATTTGGATCATTAAAATGTACACAAACTGAGGTTTGCTTTCATCATCCACAATAACACCAGCCACTTAATATAATGACTCCTAATTGATACACACATATACATCATTAATCCATACTATTGGATACTACTGGATATACATGTATAAACACTACAGGACATTATTGGGCATTATTGGGCATTATTGGATACTATTGGATACTACTGTACTTGCATTCTTTTAGCAGTGGATTAGTTATGAGACATTTACTAGTTAATTAGGCAAAACACACGCAATGAAATGAATAGCATAAACACAACACCAACACCCACACATACTGTTAAATCTAGAGGGAGTTTAGGGGACTTTCGGCCTCCAATTAACAATCTAGGTCTTTCAATTTTAGTTTCTGATCTCTCTTACATTGTTTATATTAATTTTAGCTTAGGTGTCTCATTTTTTAAAGGCATTCATACATGAGGCAACATGCTGCTAGCAACATCTGTGGTTATTTTGATCTTGTAAGCAACATGTTGCCAGAAATAGAAAATAATCTATTTTTGGGAACATGTAGCTTGGTTGCTAGCAGCTAGTTGCCTTGTGTATGAAGGCCTTATAGACTGCATGGTCTCCCAAGATTTATTCACACAAACACACACAAACACACTTAATAGCATACCGTTATCTTCTTCTTCCTCCTCTTCTTGCTGCTCCTCCTCCTTTATCACTTTCTCGAGGCTAAACTGACGTCCTTTTTGAATCTCTTCTCCAAACCACGGAGCCGAGAGGATGGGCGGAGTCAAAATAGTCCCACGCTGACACTTTAAAGAAGACATTGGACTAGTAACAAACTCGTCCACTATCATGTAATGAAAATTTGATGTACAATCACATTTGAATGCTTGTAAGTACTGAGTCCCTGACGTCCATACTTGACAGATGTTATCTAAAGCAGGTTTAATGAACATTAGGACTGTCAGTGCAGTCTCAATGGATGGAGGAGAAGGACGAAGCGCTTCTGTTGAAGAGAGCGGAGAGAGAGAGGGAGATGAACCAGAGTTATATGAGGGATGGAGCGAGACTGATATAGCTTGATCTGGATGTCTTCTAACAAGGAGCATTGTCTGTGGGTTTATAAGAAAGCAACCAGCATCCTTGTAAAGGCTGTAACAAGATGAGTGAGCGCTTAAACAACGAACGAGGAGTCTTAGGAAAACAAGAGAACTGTCGGCATTATCGGGAGAAAGAAAGTATATAGTTTCAAGAGATGAAGGGCTGATGTTAGGCGGTAAGGACTCGTTAATGATGGATGGTATGAGGATACCAGTGATGGTATTAGAGGAAGAGACGAGAGAGAGAGTGGGGGAAGGAATAGGAGAGGAGTGAGAGGATCTATCGGATTCGGAGAGTGAGATTTGCCGCATCGAGTGGATCACCGCTAACTCCAAAGACTGCAGTAAAAGTAGTAATTCTTGTTTGACAGAGCGAGGGACAGAGGGACACAAATGCTCCAATAAAGCATCAGTGAGAGCTCCTTGAGTTAAAGCAAGATGGTAATCAGCTTTAAGATCAGGATGTACTCCATTGCCACTAGGACTCACGTCAAGTCCTAATAATTTACTGGCGGTGCCTAGAAACCAAGCCGGATCAGTGATGATTGTATTCTCCATTGACTTCAATTGTGGACAGTACAAAATGACCAGGTTATCGTGAAGGAACAATAAAATCTCTCGCACTTCTTCTTCGCCATTTTTAATCATACACACTTCCTTTATAATGCTCTCTGCTTCAGTCAGTGATATAAAATACTGGCCATTGGAAGATAAAGATTGGAATCGTCTTAAGCACCTCAACCATTTCAAAGGAACTTCTTTACGACACTTGCTCTTCACCATATCGGTGACGTATTTCTTGACATCTTCGATTGTCGACTGGTCAAAAACTGATGAGCAACTAACAATGAAGGCTCCACTTGCAAGGTATTTCCCATAAGGAGTGGCCCTCAGGGTCTGTCTGACTTTATCCAACTGCTGCTTAGCTACAGAGTGGGTGGGGTGCTTATCGGAATGAGTCCCAACAAGAATAATAGATACGGGCGAGAGAGGGAGAGTGAAAAGTGAGTTTAACTCTGAGAGAATATCAGGGACCGGGTTATCGTGGGACGTATCAAATACAAGTAGAATAATTGAGGACTTTGTAATCAAGAGGCTCTTAAAGAGACTGCTGCTGGGAAAAGTGGGTGTGTCTATGACACGCCCATAAACCTCAGGGGGGAGGGTCCCGTTTGCACAATCATTAATCTTCTCTTTTAGCTGAGTCATCAAATTATCCGGTATGGCCGAGATGAAAGTCGCCTCGGGGAGTGACGATGATTTACTTGAAATAACATTATCGGCCGAACACAGTCTTTGGCGGGGAGGAAGAGGAGGAGAAGGGGGTGGAGTTGTTGTTGCTTCCTCTAAAACCGCATCCTTTTTATCAACACTGCCGGTCGAGGACTTACGAAACAACCTATTGAACGAGAAACGTCTTTTAAGAGGCTTCTTCTCTTTCGGTGGGATGGTATTTAGACCCTCTGGATGACTCCCACTTGATTTCATGGGTTGGTCGGAGCTCGCATCTCCAGCTGATGTTGACTCTAACAACATTGACATTCTGTGTGACGGTGGCCTCGGGGGGAGGAGCGGAGGAGCAGGTAACTGGACGCTGGTAGGTCTTGGATGGGTCGGCGGACTCTGGCGCATTGGGGGGAGTGGGGGTGGAGTTTCAAGCGACTTTGCATCTTTGAGTAAGTTGTTGATTACAACACAGCTTAGTTCATTATCGTACGCGAGTCCTTTTGGATTAGCCTCCCATGTTCTGTGACTCACTAGCTTGTAGTAATGAGACGACCAATAAAATCTAGTCGTTGGGTCTTCTCTTTGTCGGAATTGGTTTCCACAGAGACAGCGTAAAAGGCTGGTTTTTCCACCTCCTCTTGGTCCGATCATGACTAGGTTAGCAAGATGGAGGATCGTTGATTGCTTGGCGGGTGCTTCAAGGTATATCTTTGATGCCACGGGACCAGATAAGAGCTCCTTAACTGTAAGAGTGGAGACAAGAATAGAATGACATGATGATACAATAAAGGAAGGTATGTATTGTTAGCACTTGTCAAAATCAATCTCCCCCTCTCTCTCTTCCTTTCATCTTTTGTTCATTACCTTTTTCATTGGTTGCTATTATTGCTTTTCTGGCAGGTGAGGGGCTACTGCAAGGAGTCTTGGACTCACCTAAAATAAATATTAATATAAAGTTGTAAAGCAAAAATGAATCATTGATACATGTACATTAAATGATCTTAGCTCTCTCCTGCATTCTCTCTTTCTTGTTCCTTCTACTCTCCCTCTCCCTCTCCCTCTCCCTCCCTTCCTCTCTCCCTCCCTCCCTTCCTCTCTCCCTCCCTCCCTCTCTCCCTCCTTCCCTCTCTCCATCTCTTGTGTTCTTACCAAATGATTTAGACAGGAGAGCTCTGAGTGTTCTAAAGTCAGGTCTGGTCTCAGGATCAAGGGACCAGCAGTTCTTCATGATACTGTAGACTCCACTGGGACAATTGTCTGGAGGGTCCATTATATAACCATCCTCTATCTGCTCCAGTACATCCTCAGATAACTATAAATGAATAAATAATAAATAACTATACTTATTTTTTAATAAATAAAAACTATAAGAAGCTTATCAATTAGTAAACAATTATTATTGCTCTTGTTATTATAAAACAAAAATATAAAAATAATAAATAAATAAATAAATAACATGTAGGCTATTTTTTCAATCAGAACATACATGTATATGCATGTGTAAATTACTATCACACATTATTGCTGTTATTATCAGTTTTTAATGCTAAATTGCTAATTACATGTAATTACATCTTCACATACATGTACATGTACATATACTAGCGTACATGTACATGTACATGTATGTACAGTCAGTATAGCTTACTATTGAAGGATAAGGGACACGCCCAAATGAGTACACCTCCCACAGGCAAACACCAAAACTCCAAACATCAGACTTCTCTGAAAATATCTAAAGGAGAAAAAGAAAGAGGTGGGAAGAGAGGGAGAAATAAAATTACTAGATTCAAAACAGTAGTACAGTACATGTATATTTACTTTGTCTTTGAGGCCTTCAGGTGCCGTCCATTTTATTGGAAACTTAACTTCTTCATGAGGAGCATGAGCATCGACCTTTCTTGCCAGACCAAAGTCGGATATCTTTGAAAATGAAAAGACAAAAAAGCATAAACAATATTAAATTGATGTTGATTCTAGCTAGTCACAGGAAGTTATAATACAGCAGTCACCATCTGCCACCATTACAACTATTAATTATAAACATTGCAAGATGAATTTTCCCAAAAAACTGGTTCAGAAAAAATACTAAAAGCTACATGCACTATAGCTCATGGTTTATTCAGAAAAATGGCTCTGAAATTACCCTCAATTTTTATTACATTTTAAATACACATTGATGTCCTTATGCTACATGTATGTACAAAGTTTGAGCTGATTAACTTTGCAGATGTACATGTATAATCATTACAATGACTAAGTTTAGGCCAATACCCATCTCCTATATAGTCCATGGATGATTTTAACCTAAAATGGCTACAAAAGATTCTCATCAATTGAGAAGCTCTATACTTCAAAATACAGTACATGTATACATATTTGTGTACGTGTACATGCTGATGTGTACTATCAGCAGCCGTGAGTATAACCTAGCTACTATCATTACTATAAATAGGAAATTAATCTTTCACTCTCTCTCACGCACACACACACACACACACACCAATAAGTACATCAGTAGTACTATACAATGTCATCATGTATATTATATACAGTACCTGGAGGACCTCTACATTAGGAGGACAGTAATACAAGACCATTCCAAAGATACATGTATGAAATACAATAAGTTCTACACATGTAATGCAATATGCAATTTCCACATACATAAATCTACTTACAAGTATGTACATCTAAATATGCCACACACAATTAAACCAAACACACACACAGGGACTGTTGATACAGGCAGTCACAACAGGCCAGAGCACTCCTACTGTCAGAGCATTTCATAAATTCCAACAAGTACAAGGACATATAGTATTACTAATGGCTACTACCAAAGACACTATTATTACAATTAATGACAGTTTAGACTTTAAGCATTGTGAGCATTAGAAGAATGTGAATAATAATAGCTACACAACACAGTGAACACACATACACATGTACATGTACATGTACTAGATAAAAATAAACAATCTCTAATAAATATACAAATAGAGGAAGAAGAGAAAGATTATATTCATGAATTATGATATTAGTGCTACATGTATGCATATACACTGTAAGTACTGATTTGATTTGTAAATTAACACATTTATTATTGAATGGTATACATGTACATGTACAGTATGTATGTACATGTATTGAATTGCCATCAATGATTACATTCATTTGGACATCATGTTACATTCATGTCCGGTTGTACACTCACACAAATGAGAGCCATCATTATATTTCAATTTATCATAAAAATATTATTATACTTCCTACAGTTTCTATTACTACAACATTCCATAAAACAAAATGAATTAACGCTTCATAATATGCACGAAATATGAAAGCTATGTACATAGATCAAGAGTACATGCAGAGTTGCATAAATGCTTACATGTATATACATGTACGTTGTACATTAAATTATTACATTATATATATGCATGTACAATTAATTAAAATAAATATGTACATATATGTACATTACAGGGCCCACGACCCACTAGTTGTTACTACTAGTTGATTACTCCCAATACCTTAGCTTGCCCATTGTAGTTGAGTAGTATATTCCTGGCAGCAAGATCCCTATACACATAAATAATTAATATACAAATGAATATAGAAATTAATATTCAAAATTATACAATCATCTTTTTCTCTCCCCCCTCTCTCCCTTCTCTCTCTCCTTACCTGTGAACAAACCCCCTGCTACTCACATAGATCATC